TTCAAAAACGAAATAAATAGGTCTTTTATCCGAGTTATTTGTCGTATGAGAAGTAATCATGCTATGCATCCTGCCTACAAGGAAAAATTTGGTCTATCAGATAATAATATATGTTTAATTTGTGATGAAATTGCTGATCTCAATCATATAATTTTAGAGTGTGTCCTAAATTCGTTAGATACTGACACAATGTACTTAGAATTAGTTAATATTGGTATACCTCTACCAATAAACATTGATGTTCTGCTTTCATTAAACGATGTTAAAGTTTATAAAATATTGTATGAATTTGTTAAAAAAACTAATACAAGATTGTAAGTAGCTGAGCTACCCTAAAAATATTGTAAACCTGAAACGAAAAAATAAAATAAATGATAAAATAAAAAAATGAAACCAAGGAAAAAATGAAAAAAAAAAAAAAAAAACAAAAAATAATACAAAAAAAAATAATCAAAAAAACAAATAATAAAAAAATAGACATTTTTTATAATTAATTACAAACTCAGGTATTTTGATAGCTGTAAGTCAAAATATAATAATAATGTAATCATGTAACAATAGTGGATAAAACAATTAAAGATTTATGGATTACTACAATAGTCTGGCCTTTTGGTTATATCCAGTGCCATTAAAAAAAAAAAAAAAAAAAAAAAACTGACAAATCATCGAATTTACGGTTTAAATTTTATTATATACAGTGTGGTGATGAAGTAAGGAACAAAATTCATAATTGCATTACTTAAATGATGGTGTAAAAAATTGGTATTTTAAATAACAATTTTTTTTTTGAAAATATAACAACTTACCGAAAAAGAAATCAAAATTTAACCCCAAAAACAAACCAAATTTAGCGCAAATGTTCAAATTACTCTTCTTTAACCATTTGGCATTGACCGATATAAGTGCAAGCATTTTTTTTTACTTTCCTATCTGTATACAGATATAAGGAAAGTATAGGAATCATGATTTTTTTCGACCTCGAGTTTTCGACGGATTTTTACGTTTTGAGGTCCCCTGAATCCGTTTTGACTATTTTCGCGATGATGTCTGTGTGTGTGTGTTTGTGTGTGTGTGTCTGTGTGTGTGTCTGTATAACGCATAACTCATGAACCGATACACGGAAAAACACCAAATTTCAAACTTAAGCTTTGTTCCAGCGTCTAATGAGCTGATTAGATTTTGGGCAGAGTCGGAACATCTGGGGGGGTACTTTATAGGTGGTCATTTTTATATTTCATGGAATATATCTGTTATTTACGTTTGGAGAAGAAAATTCTTCAAATAAAAGTTACTTTTAATATAATTATCTATAATTTTTGTTCTATGCAAAATTTTCCTAAAATGGTCCGTATTCGAGAAATTTGACAAAATGTAAAAAAAATAATTTTTTATAAAAATTGTTCAAATAAAAGTTGTTTGTAATATAAATAATGTAAATATAAATCTATAATTTTTATTCTATATATAATTTCTCTAAAATGGACCGTATTCGAGATATTTGAGAAAATGTGTAAATTTCGAATTTTGAAGAAAACTCAAAAACGGTTAAAGAAAAAAACATTAAATTTTAAACTTAAGGTTTATTTCGGCCTGACGTGAAATGATTAGATTTTAGACATAGTCGGAACATCTGGGGGGGTACTTTATGGGAGGCCACTTTTATATTTTATGGAAAATATCTGTTATTAATGTTTGGAGAAAAAAATTGTTCAAATAAAAGTTACTTCTAATATTATTATCTATAATTTTTGTTTTATGTAAAAATTTCCTGAAATGGTCCGTATTCGAGAAATTTGACAAAATGTGCAAAATTCTGAATTTTATGAAAGTTTTTGAAATAAAAGTTGTTTGCGATATCGATCTCTATAATTTTTGTTTATACAGAATTTTTCTAAAATAGACCGTAATGGAAAAATTGTAGAAAAAGTGCTAAATTTAAATTTTTCAATGAATATTTATAGAAAAATGTTTCGAGGTAGATGTATGTGGAAAATGTATATATTTAGTTTATTCTCTAAACATTTATAGAGGTGCTGCAATAGGTTGTACAAAATAACCGGAAAAAGCCTATAATAACTAGATAGGAAAGTCATGTGTTGGACACATCAGATTTTTTTGCAAATTATCATTATCACGTCTGTACACTTTTGACCGATTTACAAATATTCGTAAATTTGACTTCACATTAGTTAAGTGTAAAAGGCGCATTTAGCAAGTTTTTTAAAAGCAAATTCTCTTTGTCGTTAACAAAAAATGCCACGTTTAACTGAACGGGAAAGAATAGAAATTTTAATAATGGTTGGATATGGTGATAAGTTAAGAACATGTGAATTATTCAATCAAGAACACCCTGATAGACCGCCTATTGTAAGATCTACAGTAAACAAATTGGTTACCAAATTTACCTCGGCAGGGTTAGCCTCCAGTAAACGATGAAACCAGATTAAATGTGTTACTCGAAACTGAAGAAAATCCTCACCTTTCTGCAAGACAGCTAGCCCTAAATAATAATGTGAACCACTCTTTTGTCGTGAGGTTGTTCAAGAAAGAGAACTAGCATCCTTACAAGGTTCAATTGATTCATGAATTAAACGAGGATGATCCAGACCGCCGCACATACAGGTATTTGCATGATCTACGCGGTCAAAAGTCCCAATAACATGCCATGCTATGACCTACAGAGCAAAACAATATATTATGGGTAAATTAATTCTCACTGCTCAGTCAAAGAGAGGGTCGTGGTCGTAGGTAATTTTTCTCCTTTTATCCTCGAAATTGGCTGAATGTCTGATTTGGTTTAGACCGTTTGGCGATTATTACCTGGGCAAATTATCTTATGGACACCGCAAATAAAAAAGAAGAATATAATAATTTTAAGGGTTATAGTATATAATTAAAACGTGCTTATTAGATATTAAAGGAGAATCCTGAGGTTTTATTCAATATCTAGCTATAATTTCGGTTGTATAGATAAGTCCTTTGAATTTAATATACAGCTTACGTACCGTTTAAAATAGATATCTATTCTGGGTGGCATACAAAATAAATGATTTTAATATATATACAAACTAACAGGTTATTAATATACAGTGCGTCCATAAAGTAACGCATAAATTCATTATTGGCTAAATGAACAATAAAATTAGGAATTCCCAAAACAGGTCGATTTTTGATTTCAATTTACTATTGTTTCAAATCATAATCTAATATACAGGGTGAACCACTTTCGTGTAATGACGTCATCACCATTTTTTTCAAATGGAACCCCCCCCTTTTTTTTCAATTTCCAAATTGCCTTTGCTGAGCTGATTCCAAAAATGTATAATATGTTGCTTCAAATTGGTACAGGGTGGGCAAAAATGCAAAAAAAAATATGAAAATTGTTTATGGAAAGTAATACGTTACTGAATGTAATAAACAAATTAAATGGAATTATGTAGTTATGCAATTAATGTGATACACTTCCAAAAACAAACAAACGAACGAAAATTTACAATAAATGTTCAAATTGTTCTCCATTGACCGTTAGACAATGACTGAACCGGGCATTACTTTCGTCTATAACATTCTGTAGCATAGCGGGTGTTATGCTCTGTATTTCTTGTCTGATTCGGTCTTGTAGTTGAGGGATATTTCCAGGTCTGTTGAAGTAGACTTTAGATTTTAAATAACCCCATAAAAAGAAGTCTAATGGGTTCAGATCAGGTGATCTAGCAGGCCATTCCACTGGTCCCCTTCTTCCTATCCACCTTTGTGGAAAAGTTGTGTTTAAAAAATTGCGCACAGCTACTGCGTAATGTGGCGGTGCGCCATCCTGTTGAAACCAGATTCTGCGGTCTACATTAGTGGGTATTTGAATATCAGGAAAAAGCTGGATCAGATCAGGAATTAATGTATTTTGTAGGAAATCCAGATATAATGCTCCTGTTAAGTTTTCATCGAAAAAATATGGACCAATAATTGTATTTCTCACAATACCAGCCCATACGTTAGTTTTTTGTGGTCTTTGCGTATGGTACTCTTGCATCCAGTGTGGATTTTCATCAGACCAATAACGGGTGTTTTGCCGGTTAACATGACCGTTCAAATAAAACTTTGCCTCGTCCGAAAATAAAACGTTATCAATGAAATTGTTATTTTGGTTCATCATATAGTCGCAGAATTCAGTTCTTCGGTCAAAGTCGTCTTCAGCCAATTCATGGATGAGACGTACTTTATAAGGATGGTATTTTACCTTTTTGAAAATGTTTGATACTGAAGACTTTCCAATACCAAAATCCCTAGATAATCCTCGCACTGTACAGTGTGGATTTTCTACAGCCGACAAAATTATGTCTTGTTGAATATTTTCATCAATTTTTGGTCTACCTTGCCTTGCTGCATCCCTCACATGTCCTAATTCTCTGTATTTTCGCTCTATTCTACTTACCGTAGATTGTGAAATAGGTTCACGATCTGGGTGCATTTCATGGAATAATCGGCATACCTCTTGTTGAGTCCGCATCTTATCGCCAATACCAATCATCATTAATATTTCAATCCTGTCACTTTCGGTTAAAGGCATTTTGTAAAAAAAGTTCACGAACGTACCTTCTCTACAGCGTTAACAATACGAAACTCACAGAACATAAACTTCTACCCAAAACGGAGTATACGGAGTGATCTTTTAGTAGATTTTATTCCTATTATACTTAAATAATAAATTAAAGTAAATTAAAAGTTAAATGTCAATACTATATATATTATTTTTGTGGCAAAAGCATCCCAGTACATTCATATGGATTTTGAACCGTAATATAGTGCTTAAATTATATTTATATATTTATTTATAACAAATTAATTGGTTTTCTTACGTTTCCCAGTATATTTAAGTTCCCATTTACATACAAAAACTCATTGAGAGTCGCTCTTCTTTGGCCAAAGGAATAGTTGCTTTCCGAAGCATTTTGTAACACATGGCTTGGAGAATTTTTGTTTTCATTTATTTCAAATTATGCCATTTAAAGTTTCAACATTGCAGAATTTCTCACTTCAAAATTCTTTGATCTTCTACCGCCTTCCCATCTGAGGTAATCTGTAGTAAAGTTAACCAAAACAAACAAACTAATTTATTGTGTATATTACTTATTTTTTAATAAAATTGATTATCAATATGATATAGTTATAAATTGATTTTGTGTATAATATAAAATATTCATCTATAAATATATAATTCTAATACAATATTGGTAAAAAAATACGAACTCTCACTATGTAATCTTATAGGCACATAAGAAGGAAGATTTATCTCAATCTGATAATTAAATTGGTATTAAGTTAGGCGGTGGTGCCAAATTATTCGGATATCTGGATTTTAACATGGCACTTAGCCAGTTGGCACGCGTAGCTGCATCACTCCAGACCAATACGGATCCAAAGTAGGGAGAACTTTTTGTTCTAACAGGATGAGAATTGGCATTTATAAAGGTAATGGACCATCTGGATTGGGGATTCCTTTTCGATTCATGTCCTAAGTACCAAATTATGTCCTCTATGTTCCATGAATGCAAAATTATTTCTCCCTATCAATAAATGTACAAATTAAATATATACATAGTATTAAATACAGGACATTAAGCATTTTGCAAAAATAAGGAATAACATAAAGATTTTTGTAACGTTTTTTCGTCGAAAATATAACGTTATTTTGAACGTAGCTTTGGCAGCATTAATATGTCAAGGGTTCTTCAATTTGCGATTTCAAAACAAAAATCTGTTAATCACTGTATACAAATGCAAGTCTATGAATGTACAACATTTAGGAAAGAACTAAAGTTGAGATCTAAGTTGTTAACTCACTTTTTTTTTATATATAAATAATAAATAAAATAGTAAGATGACCACATTAGAGCAATTAGTTACCCCTTTTTCTAATTTTATTTTGAAAAGACTTACCGTTTTGTCCTTGAAACATGTCAGTTTTCCTTGAGAAAATTGAAAAGTATATAATTTAAACAGTCTCGTTTTGTTATCTGCAAATCTCATCTCTCCAGACACCGGGTAGGGTTTTTCCAATATATATTCCCAATATTTTGATAAATGTGCTAGAGTTAAATAGTTGTCTTTCCTGTCTTGTTCGTCCCAATAGCCCCATTTCAAAATGACGTCAAGAACCTAAAAAATAGTTTTTAAATTAGTGTGGAACTAGTTTTGGCAATATAAGAAGTCTTAAATCGGTAAATTAATAACTAATATGGAGTAAACTTGAATGTTCTGCATTAGTGTAGTTCCCAATTTATTAAAATCATTTCCAAACTGTTGGAACTGTCCAATGTGAAAGTTAAAAATATAAGTACTACAAATGTTATGGTATTATTGAGAAATAGGTTTTTCTACCTTCTATATCACTTGAAACTTTTAATTTCAAGAAATATAATATTTCTATATTAATTATTTAATAATAAACTATCTAAAATCAATTTTAGAGTTCCTAGGATATTATTTAGACTTGAGACAACTTTTTATAATGTGAATTATTGAAAAAATTGGTTTGTATACTATTTAATTCATAATAATTTAATTTTAAATCACAATTAAAAAAAAAATATATATTTATTATCTTCGAAATATGTCGCTAAGTACATTAAAATACTCTTACTAAGTTACCTTTTCTTCATAATGTATAGGTCTTATTAATTTATCGTTCAAAATTATTTCTTCTAAAACCAATTCATGCACAAGAAGTTTAATATGTCCGCTAAGTTCCTTGCATAAGTCGTAAGCTGTTTTGTTGGGACCAATCTGTGAAAAAAATAATGAATTAGTAACACTGGCATTATTTATTACTTATCGAGGGTCACAAAATGCAGTACCTCGTATATTTTTTATACACAATTTTGAGAAAAACATAAATTTCTCATTTTTTACTCAGTGATTATTACAAAGAGCCCAAACATCAATATCCTATTGTCAGAATTAAATAGTTTAAATTATTTTGGGGAGATAGCGCATGTTGTTCTGTTCACATTGACGGTAAATAACTAAGCGAAATAAAACCATACGAGGTCGTGCATTGTGACCCTGGTTATTATACATTACAGCAAAATCCAAATCAATAAGTACGAAAATGAGTAAACATAACAAATTGGACAAAGATTCGCAGTTTATCTACAATATATTGTTACACTTAACCTAAAAGATCAATAGTAGGTCAATCCGTTAACCAATTATTCCTTAGGTCAGTGCAAGAAATTTCTATTATTATTTTCGAATAGAGCTATCATGTTTTTTTATTGACCAATATGGTTTTAGACATGGGAGAACAACTACAGATGCCATGCTGGCTTTATTGAATAACATTCAGGAGTCTTTAGAAAACAAATCACAATGCGTAGCTATATTCACTGATCTGTTTAAAGCATTTGACTGTGTAAGTCACACATTGTTAATCAACAAACTAGATAAATCTGGCATTAGAGGCATTGCAAATAAGATGATTGCTTTGTATTTACAAAACAGGCAACAAAGTGTATATTACAGAAATAAACTTAGTAAACCTTTATTAATGAAAAGAGGTGTTTCACAAGGATCCGTACTAGACCCTCTATTATTTTTAATATATACCATGTAAAGGGTTTTCTCGCCTCAGAGAAAACGATTCCTTACGAATGACGCTGGTTACGGGCGGTTCTCGAGCGCCAGATTTTTGGTGATGGTTTACTCCACGAACTTTCGAAACGGCGTCGAAAGTACTCGGGTAGCTACAGATGGAGATGAAAAATTCCAGGGGTCAAAGGTCACTTAGACACAGGTAATAGTAGGCCACAAGTAACGGGCTTTAATCGTTGCTTGGGCTGGTACAGAATTAATCACTAGCTGAAATATAAGGGGGAAATAAATTTAGGAATTAACAACCAGTAATACGGCCAGTTAACATTGACACATATATTGTTTTAAAATATTTACAAACGAAAAGGAATAAATTAATGTATTTCAAATGTTGTTCCCCAAAATATATTTTGTGAGTCGGTTCGGCGTGGCTTAGTGGTCCAGGATGGTGTGGCGAAGATGTGACAAGAGGTTAGGTTACCTTTACGGTGATGGAAGTCCCTCGAAGTCAATACCTTCGTGGGAGAGATTCACGGGAAAGGAACACCTACAAAGTCAATACCTTTGCAGGTAAGGGTCGGGACGTCGGGAAGCCCACAGAGTCAATACCTCTGCAGGAGCAGGAGAGGAGAGTCTTACTAAGTCAGTACCTTAGTTCGACTGACGAGAATTAAATTCGGAGCTCTTTATATACTTGTCTCTGCTTGGCAAAAACGGCTACATACTGAACCATAGGCGTATCTAAAACGGTGTTACTGGTGAACATCGTTACAACCAATGATTTTCCATCTTATATGAATTTAAATAACTACCATGTATGCAGATGATACCAATTTCTCATATCACTGCAATAACACATCTGACATAGTTATCAAACATTCTAAGATTATGATTGAAGCTAAACAATGGTTTGATAGCAACGAATTATTTTTACATCACAATAAAACTGAAACATGTGTCTTCAGGTTGAACCAAACTACTAGTGAAACAATGAAAACTAAATTTCTCGGTATATATTTTGACACACAACTTACATGGAACTATCAAATAAATAATTTATGTAACAAGTTGGCAAAATTCACGTTTGCTCTACGTAGAATGTCAAATGTAGTTAATACAGAAGCAGCAATAACTACTTATTATGGCTTATTCGATTCCAATTAAACATATGGAATTCTAACTTAGGGAAATGCTAGCTTCATTTCACTACAAAGACTTTTTATCTTGCAAAAATCAGCAGTTCGTTCTATTCTACGGGTAAATTATTGTGAACCATGCGGACCACTATTTAAGCAACTTAGCATAATTACCCTGTTTTCGCAAATAGTAATTGAAAACTTGCTAGCCATAAAAAATAATTTGGGAAACTTCACGTCACTCAATCATACATACGATATCAGAGGGAAAATTCAGCTAATCCAAACGAGAACTAGAATAAACAAGTCCCGAACAATAGGCATTTCATTCTATAATGGACTTTCGCCACACATCCGTAATCTACCAGGAAAAAGTTTAAACATCAAATTAAAAAGATATTACTGGACATGTGTCTATATAACAATAACGATTATTTTGTAAGAGTGAAACATGTTACCTAATATTTTTAATATTGTATTTTTATTATATATTTTTTATTACTATTACCAATCATGATCTTTTAAAATCCTATTTTATTTTAATTTTACTCGAGTATGCTGTATGTTAATATACAGTGTGCATCATAAGTCTTACCCCCCCTAACTAACTCGTTACTGGGGTCTTGTTAGGAAAATTGCCGAGACAGGTCGATTTTTGATTTCTACAATGTAAATTTTTGCATGATTAGTTTACCCTTAATTTCATCCTTTACTGGAGGGTAGCAACCCTTTCGAAAAATTTAAATGGCATGGGGTGGTGAGTGATAGCTCATTTGAAAGGGGGTTTTATTCTCTATTCAACCGTGCAAAAAAAATTTGAAATTTGCTTCATTACGTGTTGATTTATTAATGTTTAAAAATAACAAAACCTCACAAAATAGGAAAGCAACTTGACTAACAGTGACCTTCTAATGGCAAAAAGTCTTACTTCACGTCTGAACCAAAACCGAAGTCATGCAGAGCCGAATTTTAATTCTAAGTATGAGTGCGCTACGTTAATTTCCATTATTCCGAAACAACAATTAGTCGAGAATTAATGAAGCAAATTTCAATTTTTTTTACACGGTTGAATAGAGAATAAAACCTTCTTTCAAATGAGCTATCACTCACCACCCCATGCCATTTAAATTTTTCAAAAGGGTTGCTCCCCTTTAGTAAGGGATGTAATTAAGGGTAAACTATTTATACAAAAATGTACATTGTAGAAATCAAAAATCGACGTGTCTCGGCGATTTTCCTAACAAGACTCCAGTAACGAGTTAGATAGGGGGGTAAGACTTATGGTGCTCACTGTATGTAAAATGTGGTGTATTTTACCATTTATGTGTAAACTGTGTAAACATGTTTATACAGGGTGTAACTAAATAAGTGTAAAACATTTAAGGGGGTGATTCCTCATCGAAAAAAAGATAGGATCTTTCATATAAAGAAACTTCATTGGAGCATCCCTTGTTAAGATACAGCCCCTTAAAGGGGGTACATAAAATTTGTTTTTTCACAAGCACTAAACAAGTTACAATATTGAAATTAACCTGACATTTTCTACTACCAAAAAGACACTTAGCCAGTAATTTATTTGGTTTACCCCATGGTTGTAAGGGGTGGAAAACGCAACCCCTAAAATTTCGTTCCAACGTAACTTTTTGTCATATTATTTGTTTACCATTTAAAAATTTATTTGCGATAGCCTCTTGAATTTTTTGCCCAAAATAAACCAGTTCGCAGCAAAAAATTATTTTACGAACAAGATAGATATCGCCATAATACGAAAATACGAAACTAATTTATCTAGTAGGCAGCTATTAGCAATACTGACAATTACCAAAGTATATTAACCGTTGAGTAGCGACATAAAGCGTCGGTGCCTTTGATCTTGAGTGGTGCAAATTTTCTTTCTCTCTCTTTTGACGTTATTGACGGAACGACACAGTAAAACACTGCTCGAATTATGAACTGGTCTTGAATGTGATGTTTACACTGCTCGACGTAATTTGAAGTAAAACTCTTTTGTAGTTTACATTTATAATAAAGGTTTGGTCATTAGGCAGTTTTATATTTATGAGTATTTAACTTATCTAGTAAATATAAAAATTTATATCACTTATAGCACATGCATTTCCTGGCATAATAAAAAACCCACAAAACCCAAAAAAATCTTAACAAAAACAATAAAAGAGCGCTAATAAATCCACAACAACGAATTTCTATATCAGTTGCCGGACTAAAGTGAAAGGGGTTGTTTACATGTTTAGAAGACGTCTCGCCTCTCTATTTCGCGTCGGCGCACTAGAATTCGGTTCCCCAGCTGTCGCTACTCAACGGTTAATATACTTTGCAATTACATTGAAATCAAGCTGTCAGTTTGTAAATTTTTGAAATTGAAGTAATACTAATTGTGTATTGTTGTTCTGTTCGTAATTTGTTACTTTAATAATTCACTTGTTATTAAAATGGCATACACAAATGAGGAAATGGCTGATATGCATTACGTTTACGGTCTTTCCCAGGGGAATGGGTTAGAAGATATGCTGAAATGTATCCTCAACGGCAGCATCCTTCACATAGAATATTTGCCCGACTTCATCAACGATTACGAGAATATGGTTCATTCAACAAAAGAACGCACGATTGTGGTCGCCATCGAGAAGTAAGAACACCTCAGCTTGAGGAAGCACTACTTAATTTTATTGAAGAACAACCTACTACCAGTACTAGAAAGATTGCTTTCCAGCTAAATGTTGATCATATGACGGTATTTCGAATTTTAAAGGAACATCTTTTATACCCTTACCATCTGCAACGAGTACAGGCACTGTTACCGCGAGACTTTCCGAACCGTCTTGAATTTTGCAATTGGATGCTGGAAATGATTAGAAGAAATCGTGACTTTCTGAAGACGATCGAATTCACAGACGAATGTAGTTTTTCTCGGGACAAGATTATTAATTTTAATAATTACCACATTTGGGCTGATGAAAACCCTCATGCTATTGTCGAAACTCACCATCAAGAATACTTTTCTCTTAACGTGTGGGCCGGAGTTATTGGTGATTATTTAATTGGGCCTCATTTTCTACCTCCTCGATTAAATGATGAGGCATATGTTCAAGTTTTAAGAGAAGTGCATCCCGTACTGCTGGAGGAAGTTCCTTTGGCCGTCAGAAGGGATATTTTTTATGCATGATGGGGCTCCCGCCCATTTTAGTCAAGTAGCACGTCAGCATTTAACTGAAACATATGCAAATCAGTGGATAGGTCGAGGAGGACCACAGAATTGGCCCCTCAGAATTAGAGGACTTAAGAAACCGCATCATCGATGCGTGCAGGGTAATTAGAGAGACTCTAGGATTATTTGAGCGAATACGTGGCTCAATGCGCCGACGTCTAGACGCATGCGTAATGTCTAAAGATAGACATATTGAACATTTACTATGATTTCTACATGTTGTATGTTTTGTTATTAATAAATTAGTTTTGATTATTCCCCTTTTTAATCATTTAATGCAGGTTGTAACTACAAAATAACAATAAATCCAGTAAGCATTTATGACGATGTATCTCTGTAGTTGTTCGTAAAATAATTTTTGCTGCGAACTGGTTTATTTCGGGCAAAAAATTCAAGAGACATTTTTTGTTTAGAATGAAACAGGCTATCGGAAATACAATTTTAAATGGTAAAAAAATAATAAGACAAAAAGTTACGTTGGAACGAAATTTTAGGGGTTGCGTTTTCCACCCCTTACAACCATGGGGTAAACCAAATAAATTGCAGAAAATGGCAGGTTAATTTCAATATTGTAACTTGTTTAGTGCTTGTGAAAAAAATTGTTAAACAAATTTTATGTACCCCCTTTAAGGGGCTGTATCTTAACAAGGGATGCTCCAATGAAGTTTCTCTTTATATAAAAGATCCTATCTGTTTTTCGATGAGGAATCACCCCCTTAAATGTTTTACACTTATTTAGTTACACCCTGTATATGTATTACTGAGAATAAAATATTTCTATTTCTATACAGGGTGACAAAGTTAATTTTAAAAAATACGTTTTCATTATATTTTCGTCGTTTTATTAAGTAGATGACTTAAAATTGACACATCGGGATTTTTTAGGACGACAAATCATAATTTGAGCCTAAATATCACCTTCCTCTAGTTGTAACATGATGGCCCTAATCGAAAAAAATAATAGAGATTTCTTACACTAATCTAAGGAATCTATGGTTAATATATAGGCCCATTTTTTTGGGACACCCTGTAGACAGAAGCATAATGATATTAATAAAATAATAAAGAAATTTAGATTTTAACTGATTTTATAATTAAATTTCAAAATATAAAACTAGAAAATATGTTGTGCATAATGTATTTGATTCATTAACTATACGTTATAAATTTTATCAGATTTGTAGGTAAATGATTTCTGAAACATGGCTGAATTATGATGAAGAATATGAAAAATATTTCTACAGCTGACATTTGGAGGGTGCAAATAACTTATCCAAAAGTGTTTTGGTTTTATTTCCTTTTATGACATTATATACAAGAAATTAATAAAATTATTTTGACATTTACTATTTATTTTTAACTATTTAAATTCATAAAATGTATGCATCATTTTCGAAGCCCATAAATAATTTTGTACTTTTTGTATGCGGTTTTGTGTATAAGAAGTAATAGAATTTCCATAAACGACATCATCATATGAGAAAATAAACAAAATTATTGACTTTCAAGACCTTATATAATTTGTTTAAAGTAGAAAATGATTTTTTTAAAAGGATGTTTATATGCAAGTGGAAATTGAGATTAGAGTCAAACAGAATGCCTAGATTCTTTATGAAATCCGCTATAGATAAAGTTAGTTGATCAATTTTTATGGATAGTCTTTGACTAAGGTATTTCCGTTGTTTTTTGTTTCTAAATAGGATTAGATGACATTTATTTTTATTTAGCTTAAGATTATGTTTAATAGACAATTTATGAATATAATAATAATAATACTACTCTCCCTAATTCACCCCCTTACGAGTGAATTTTAACACCAAAAGCTGAGCTTGTGCGGGGAAAGGGACGGCTATTATTATTATTTGCCGTGGCGCTCCGGGGCGACTTAAAGATTATTGATGGTGCCACTTGACTTGACCAAAAAATTTTCAAGTAACCTAGTTTTGTGATTTTTTAATAATAATTTCTCAATAAATTCCACGGTAACCTATATATTTTATTGCAAAAAACAAAACCTAAATATTTCAAAAACCTTATTTTTAGTTTTTTTCTACTCCATCTAATCAATAAATAATAGTAAAATTAATTATAATTCGAAAATTGTTGTTGAAGTCTTACTTTCTCATAAGTCACTGTACACACACATTTAAAAAAAATTTTTTCTCAAAAATTTGCACGGTAAGGTATAGTTAAAAGTTCACTATTAGATAAATAAGGACATCTACTATTAGAAAAAAATTAATTTTAGTCATAATCTAATATTTTTTATTTAACATTGGTGGCGAAAGGACCTCCTTAAACAATGTTACCACGAAAGACACTTATCCTCTGCCTCGAATTGACGATACCTTGGAAATATTAGCAGGTGGAAATGGACCTAGTAGATAAAGAAAAGACAGTTTTCACCACCGGATCTGGATTGTGGCAATTCAATATCATGCTATTTGGACTATGTAGTGCCCCCGTGACATTTGAAAGACTCATAGAAAATGTATTGAGAGGGTTATCCTGGAAAATTGCCTGGTATATTTAGAAGACATCACAGTCTTGGAGAAGACATTTGATCAAAATCAAAAGAACTTAGAAGATATTTTTAAAAAACTTCAAGATGACCAACTGATGCTAAACCCCAAGAAATGCCTGCTATTTTAAAATAAATTTAATTACCTGGGTCATATAGTCAGCAAGGATGGCGTAGCTGTAGATAAGGAGAAAGTCGTTTCTATCAAAGATTGGCCACAACCAACTGACAAACATCAAATAAGAAGTAGTTTTGAGCTTTTTACGTACTAGCGAAGATTCTTAGAGTTCGTAAATATTGCTAAGTCATTAACGCGACTTACCGTAGAAGTTAGAGGGACGAAGATTGCCAAACTGTCTTTGAAACTTTATAGAAGCATATAACCCCAACTGTTTTAAATAAATTAACTATTTTATAATAAACAAAAGTTACAATATTAAGGAATAACGATTTAAGAAAATATTTGTTTGAACTTTACTAATTTATTATAGTATCGATTCAAAGGGTGATTTAAAAACCATGATATTGTCCAACTCTTTTTTTTTTCTGAGTAATTTAAAGGTCGGTAAATATTCAAAGACGCTTTATGAATAGGCGTATTATAATCAATTGTATTACTTACTGAAACATTGTACGATTGTCCTTCTTTATTGTGCAAATACACCCATATTCTCAGATCTCCCGCCGTTTTGTTGCATACATTTACTTGAGGTGCTTTAGAATATTTTTCCAAAACCCTTAACATGTGTTTTTCTTTTTCAAGCTCTCCTGGATCTTCAGGGAAAATGTGACGGTATAATTTGATTAGTTGATGTACAACTTCAGTGTCCAACATATGATTGTGATTAACATTTGGAATGGCGTCTCTATCCTACAAACATTTTCAATTAAATATATTAATATAATTATAATGATAATAATAATAATAGCCTTTATTACCCAACAGATATGAATCCCTGTACAGAGCAATCCAACAAATTATTAATAATATAGTAAAGGTGACAAATATATATGGATATTATGAAAAACAGTGAATATTAAATAAATAAATATAAAAGATAACAAAAATATAACAAAAAATAAAAAAACAAAAAAAAAACAAACAAAAAAAACAACAAAAAACCCAAAAAAAAACAACAACAAACAACAAAAAAACAAAACTTTAAGCAATGTTATAATTGGTCCAAGCAAGTGCTTTAATACATTTCAAACTATCTGTGAAGATATCTGACGAATTACAATATAAATTAAAGTTATTACACATGACATTGAAAGGTGAGCTTGATTTATTCAGAACGAATTAGAACTTACTTCATAATGCAGCAACGTTGGCCCCCAAATACTGGCAAGATTTTCTGCAGTCATTAAATTTTTGGCACTTTGCGTACTGATAAAGTGAAGATGACCGATTAATTTTCTAGTAGTGTTGTAGGAAATGGTAGGTATTTGATCCAGAGAGGCTTTGTACATTCTTATCTTTTCTTCTCGGTTATTATGTTCTATAAACAAAACGTTTTTATTTATAAACTAGTTGAAACGACCTGAAAAGTAGCGACGTGAACGAAAGTGACTATTTAAAGACAAATAAATATGATTTCGATGGTTTATTTTGGTGTTTTAGGTTAGCAAATGTTTTGTTTGAAATTTTATTTAAAAATTAACAAACGTCAACAAAATATATTATGTTATAAAGAACTCTGCGAACCATTTGTAAACATATTTCTGCGGTTTTATACCAGACCTATTGATAATGATAAAAAATCAATCACATTTTTCACCTAATTGATTAATTTATTAACGAATATTAAAGTGTCAAATGAATTTTAGATTAAGAGCATCAAACTTTAAGAATATAACAATTATAGAATACTGGAAATTCAAGAGATACTTAAGACCTGTAAGAGTTATATTAATACATTTCCCAATTAAAAAAATACTTACTAGAAACTTCATACAGATATTGTCGTTGATTGGTTCCTAAAAGAGGTTCTGGCAAGTCTCTGAAAAATCTTTTCAACGCAGTTCCTACTTCGTGTTCAGTACAAAGATCCGTAGTTAACTGTACTGCAAATGCGTCCTTCCTAAATTTCGTCAGTAATTCGGAAACTGAAGAACCTTGACCCGGTCTACGGTAAATACCTTCAGTCATACTGCCTAAAAATTTATTTGATTTTATTGAACGTTTGGTAAACATGCGGCAAAAATGCAAGGGGTTATTCTTTGGACTATCTCCCTAGACCAAAAATATAATACATAATGTTGGCAAAAGTAATCAACTGATTAAAGCCCTCGAGTTAAAACTCTCGGGCTCTAATTAAATTATTAATGTCAAAAATTATGTCTCATTAAATGGATATTAAAATATTTTCGAGATTTAGATTCAACAAAAATAGCCGACTATTATCAAGATCTTGGTATATTACCCTTGACTATTTTAAAAATATTATGTTATTTGATGATTTGTGAAAACCCGTTCTGTTTCGAAATGCTTGAAAACAATAAAATTTTAAATATTAACCTGATCAAAGTTAAACTATTATTATTATTATTAAAATAATAAGTAAGACTTACCATGGGCATAAATAAAATTAATACATTTCTCAACTATCACAGGAACGTTATTTTTAGTGAGCTGCTGTTGGTCTAAATTGGCGCCATTATTGTGGGCTTCTAATTTGACTACATGACACCAGACCTGTTGTTTTTAAAATAAAAAGACTATATAACAGATATATTTTAATTATAAATAATTCATTTTGTTTAAAAAATGACAAAAGCATTTTAAAATAACCCTGTATAGTTAACATAAAAATGTTATATTTCATTATTCAATCTCTAGTTTTAGTATTAGATAATCTATACAGTGAGCACCATAAGTCTTACCCCCCCCCCCTATCTAACTCGTTACTGGAGTCTTGTTAGGAAAATCGCCGAGACACGTCGATTTTTGATTTCTACAATGTACATTTTCGTATAAATAGTTTACCCTTAATTTCATCCCTTACTGGAGGGGAGCAACCCTTTCGAAAAATTTAAATGGCATAGGGTGGTGAGTGATAGCTCATTTATAAGAGGGTTTTATTCTCTATTCAACCGTGTAAAAAAATTTCAAAATTTGCTTCATTAATTCTCGACTAATTGTTGTTTCAGAACAACGGAAATTAACGTAGCGCACTCATCCTTAGATTTAAAATTCGGCCCTGCATGATTTCGGTTTTAGTTCAGACGTGAAGTAAGACTTTTTGCCATTAGAAGGTCACTGTTAGTCCAGTTGCTTTCCTATTTTGTGAGGTTTTGTTATTTTTAAACATTAATAAATCAACACGTAATGAAGCAAACTTTAAAATTTTTTGCACGGTTGAATAGAGAATAAAACCCACCACCCCATGCCATTTAAATTTTTCGAAAGGGTTGCTACCCTCCAGTAAGGGACGAAATTAAGGGTAAACTAATCATGCAAAAATGTACATTGTAGAAATCAAAAATCGACCTGTCTCGGCGATTTTCCTAACAAGACCCCAGTAACGAGTTAGTTAGGGGGAGTAAGACTTATGATGCTCACTGTATATAACTTAACTAAGTACACTCGGTATTTAGTTTTTTAAAAAGATTTATTTAATTTAAATTACAACTTATCATATCAAGAACAGATTCTAAACTGAATATCAAGAAAGGAAATATAATATAACAGGTTGATTACACCTAAGGTGGAATGACACAAACTAATCTAATGAAAAGTCAGCAGTTCCAAGGTTCATCCACGAGGTTGCCGACTCAGGGTTATTAACTCTATAACTTGTATATAAAAAGAGCTCCACGAAGCAAAAAAAAATATGGTAATTATTTAATATTTTTATCAATTTGTAATGATGAGAGTAATTAACAATAACCTACTTTGTTGGAAAATGAATTTTTATGAAAAATTCCAACGGGGGGAATGAATTCTTCTAAGTGTTTAGAATACACCGTAATTTTTTTAAATTTTTGAATTTAATTTTATTAACTTAAAAAAATTATTTTATGTAACGTACTCGGTTTCGACGCCGTGCGCGCAACCTAAAAATGGCGCGCGGAAGGCTACTTTGAGCGTTAAATTAAAATTATAAATAATGGAGCTACAGTTCCGGGAGTCGGAACTTATTTATAGCAAATTTCCTTCTCTTTAAGGATCTTTTTTGAAAAATCCAAAAATATTTATAGTTTACAAACTATAGGCGAAAGACCAAACACAATGTTTTTGAGGTGTTTAATTGTTTATAACTTTTGCAATTTTTTATGCACTGCAAAATTTTTCTTCACACATTGATCTAGACATTATTCCGAATCGAATGAGCTATTGAACATAATTTTCGTAATAGTATGTCCCAAAAACACGCTTTTGAACTTGTTGATTATACTACAAAAAGTCTAGAAGGTTTTGTAGATGCTGATTGGGCCTGCAATTCTCTGGATAGGAAGTCATATACAGGTTTTTGTTTAATTTTTTCAAATTCAGCTGTGTCTTGGGGGAGCAGTAAACAAAAAACAGTCACCCTTCTCAAGCACTGAGGCCGACTATATGTAAGCTAATAAGGCCATATATTTTCGAAACCTATTAAGAGAATTGACAGGTTTCTTTGATTGTATTTCAATTTATAGTGATAGTCAAAGTGCCCTAAAGCTTACGTCAAACTCCATGTTTCATAGAGAAACTGTAAAAAGTGGTTTGATCGATACAGAATATTTGCAGACAAATAAGATGCCACAGATATCCTGACAAAAGCTTTTTACAAGTTTTTGAAACACCTGGGTAAGTTTCTTTTTTATTTTATTTTTTGAGTATTATTATTTTAAACTAATGGGGGGTGTTGTAAAGTTTGAAATATCCTCCTTATTATGATGCACCTAGCGCCCTCTGCTTACTTATTGAATATCATGTTTATCATAGAATGATATAGTGCTGAAGTGGTTAGTCGTAATATAGTTGTTGCCGAAGACCAAGTGTTTGGTATTATTTTAAATTTACCAAGTTTCCCATTTTTAACAATTTCAGGTCTTTTGGATTGT